ATAGAACAGCCCTAGACAAGTACAACCGTGAATTAAGAAAATCAAAAGGGAAATCATGGAGACAATTCTGCAAGGGGATTGACGAATTAGCCCCAGCTCAACGTCTCCAAAAAGTTCTTTCAAAAAACCACTGAAACGGAATTGGTCTGCTTAAAAAGCCAAACGGAGAACACTGTACCGACCATACAGAAAGTCTAGAGGTACTACTACAAACTCACTTTCCAGGTTCGGTAATCGTTGAAGCCCTGAACCAGGTCACTCCGCCTATCGAAGGGCCACAAAGCCCTAACGGCAGGAGCAAAAGGCTGGCTGGGAAAATCTTCACAATGAACAGAATAAAATGGGCGATCGATAGCTTCAGACCCTACAAATCTCCAGGCAAAGACGGGATTTTTCCCGCACAACTGCAAAAAGGCTACGAGCACTTAAAGGTACACCTACAAAAGCTCTTTAAGGCAAGCCTGCTCCTAGGGCACATACCGCTATCTTGGAGGGAAGCTAATGTGATATTCATACCAAAAACGGGTCGCCGACCCGAGGACGAACCAAAATCATATCGTCCCATTAGTCTAACCTCCTTTCTCCTTAAGACAATGGAGAAAGCAATCGACCAGTACATCAGAAGCGAAACTCTATTGAGAAGACCGCTCTACTCGAAGCAATTTTCCTATCAGCCAGGCAAATCCACGATAAGTGCTTTACACTGCCTGGTTAAAGACATTGAAAAGACAATCGAGTGCAAAGAGATCGCTCTCACAGCTTTCATCGACATAGAGGGTGCCTTTGACAACACCTCACATCAATCAATCGCCAGAGCATTACAAGAAATGAATGTTGAAGTTCCAATTGTAAAATGGATAGAGTCGATGCTGAAGCACCGTCACGTTACGGCTGAAATAAACGGAGCATCAGCTACCGCTACCACGGTCAGAGGGTGTCCTCAAGGGGGTGTTCTTTCTCCGCTACTATGGACACTGGTGGTAGACAAAATTCTTACCAGACTGAGTAGTGCTGGATACCAGGTCATAGGTTACGCAGATGACCTAGCCATCGTAATCAAGGGCAAACATGAAGGTATAGTGACAAGCCGAATGCAAAGTGCCCTAAACATCGTTAAAAATTGGAGCGAAGGCGAAGGACTATCCCTAAACGCAAACAAAACAATCCTTGTCCCGTTCACAAGAAGAAGGAACCTAAATTTGAAAGCCCCGACCCTTAACGGTACACAACTAACATTTTCCAACGAAGTGAAGTACTTAGGGGTCACCCTGGACCAAACCCTCACTTGGAACAAACAGTTAGAGAAAATATGCTCTCGAGCTACATCAGCCATTTGGTCATGCCGAAGACTTGTTGGCAAAACATGGGGGCTAAAGCCAAAGATGGTATTCTGGATCTACCAAACCATAATAAAGCCTATGGTCACATACGCCTCATTGGTGTGGTGGCCCAAAACCCAACAAGTCACCGCTCAGATTAAGCTAAGAAAGGTGCAAAGGCTGATATGTCTAGGAATAACGGGAGCAATGTCAACTTGCCCCACCGCAGCCCTAGAGACGCTACTCAACATGCCCCCACTTCACCTATGTGTGAAAAAGGAGGCAATAATCAGCGCTCACAGGCTATTCCAAATAGACAAGTTCAAGCCTGGCGATCTGAGGGGACATCTGAAAATCGTTGATCTAATAACACTGGAGATTGCCAGCAAACCAAGTGACCACATGATGGTCAGATTGGACTTAGAGATCCCCTTCGTAGTGGTAATAAACGACCGCCAATCATGGGAGAATAAAGAACTACCACAAGCAGACAATGCATCTCTGTGGTACACAGATGGATCCAAGCTAATGGTAGGAGCTGGACTGGGCATTTCCGGCCCTAACTTCAAGCTCTCCAAGGCATTGGGTAAACATCTTACAATATTTCAAGCCGAACTGCTTGCCATAGATTTAGGTGCACAAGAGTGTCTTAACCAAAGCCTCAAAAGAAAACAAATCTTGATACTATCGGACAGCCAAGCTGCCTTAAAAGCCTTGAGGGCTTTCAAATGCACGTCAAAACTAATCTGGGAGTGTAAACAGACCCTAAAAACACTAGCGACACATAACCAAGTAACGCTGATGTGGCTGCCTGGTCATCGAGACATAGAAGGAAACGAAGAGGCAGATGGCCTCGCAAAGGAAGGGGCCTCAACACCATACCATGGACCAGAGCCCTACTGTGGCTTAATGAAAAGCCACATCATGGAAGAACTCAACAAATGGAAGAAAGACCAACTGTCATCATATTGAAGGCACACACCGGGACTCAGACAGTCAAAAAGGTTTATTACCCTTTCAGCAAAAAGAGCTGAACAGCTCCTAAGCATGAGCAGACCAGACATCAGATTGGTGGTGGGACTGCTCACAGGACACTGCCCAGTAAAATACCATTTAAGATTAATGGACAGAGCAGAAGACGATCTCTGCAGATTCTGCTCAGACGCAATAGAAACCGCAGAGCACCTGCTCTGCGAATGTCCAGCCCAATTCTGCAAGAGGCTCAAATTCCTCGAGGGGGCAACACTGTCATCAGAAGAAGTGGGCCAACTGACACACAGGAAAATAGCTTCCTTCGGCAGAAGTCTACGCTTCCTGGAGACAAATTAAGATGTAGAGTCACGCACAAAATATCTGCAAAGGTAGCAGTGCTGAGCGGCTGAAAAGCCGAAACGACTCCCCCGAAATCTACAATCTACAATCTACAATGTAGTTTAGAAAAACTAAATTAATTTAAGAAAGCAGCAAATAATTTTTTGAATTACCACCAAGTTAACTCAGGAAACCGTTATTTGTATTGTACATCAAACCCTATGTATTTAAGAAAGTTTCAATCGTAGTTTAGAATTATGTAGTATTTCTCTACATCTATACGGGTTGATTTCTTTAAAATTCCCCTCCTATATCAAATTTGCGACAAGAGATGTCCATCTCTGTAAGCATTTATACATACCTACAAGTAATCTTAAGTTCAATTATATATCGTTTCTAAAATACAATTGCAATCTAAAATACATATGACTTTTCTAAAATACATTGGAAATTATCGATAATACACTCGATAATACAATAATTCTTGCTTCTAAAATACTTTTGACTATTTCGCTAATACATTTGAAACAGCTAAAATACATATGGATTTTCCTGAAATACAAATGTTTATTCCAAAATACAAATGATACTTTGTTTAATCAAAATGATACTTTTTTAAATACTGTTTTAAAGGGTGTAGCTCTCAGCAGAAATTTCTCTACACCTTTTCCAACAGTATTGTGGAAACCTTCAATAGTATTTTAGTATAGCCATTTGTATTTAAGAAATCCCCATATGAATAATGGAATAAATAATTGTATTTAAGAAAGCATCATTTGTATTTTCAATTTTGGAATAACCACTTAAACTTAGAAATGCTTCAAATGTAGTTTAGAAAAACTAATTTAATTCAAGAAAGCATCAGATAAATTTTTGAATTACCAATTTAACTTAGGAAACCATCATTTGTATTTTAGATCAAACCATATGTATTTAAGAAAGTTTCAATTGTAGTTTAGAATTATGTAGTATGCAGTATACCTTTGTCATATAATACTAATACTTCATTTTTGCCAGGTGACCCAACTTGCTGTCCCTTTATTAGGTCTTTGTCTTCTACTACCTATTTTTTATAATTTAGTTTTTATAATGAAAGTGATTTTGCATAGATAAGTAATTGTAAAGCTGCAGAAATATGAATCTTCGAGACAATTGTGGTATTTGCCGAGTATCCATGTTAAGGACATCAGTTTTACGAATGGTTCCCTGTAACCATGCGCATTGTGTTGAAGAAGGTAGGCTTAATACACCAGGATCATTATTATGTTCAATGTGTAGAGCCGAAATAACTGGATTTGTTGTTTTTGTGTTGAGATTATGTAGGTTTAAATTTTTTTTTAAATTTTTCTCTTATGTCAAATATGCTACAAGAGATGTCCATCTCTGTAAGTAATAAGTATTTATACATACCTACATGTAATCTAAAATTCAATTTATCGTTTCTTAAATTCAAATGATTGTTTCTGAAATTCATATGGTGTTTCGAAAATACAATTGCTTCAATCGAAAATACATATGGCTTTTCTAAAATACATTTGAAATTATCGATAATACAATTTTTACTTCTAAAATACTTTTGAATATTTCGCTAATACATTTGGAAAATCTAAAATACACATGGATCTTTCTGAAATAGAACTGTTTATTCTAAAATACAAATGACACCTTCTTAAATCCAAGTGATACGTTCCTAAATACTGTTGGAAATGGTGTAGTCTATGGAAGTTTATTCGTTTAACTCCATATGGCCACTCCAGTGAAAAATGAAATCTATCTGTGCACTGTCCAAACAGTGCCGACTAAAAACCATCTGCACTGTCCAGATAATTTCATTATCATATCATATAAAGTTATCGAAATCAAAAAGATGGCTACAAGTGCGAGTGTCGCGGGAAATGTTCCCTCAAAAAATCGTGAAAAACGCGATGAAAAACCCAAAATTAATTGTGTGCATTGTAACAAAAGTTCTTCCAGTACCATACAGTGTGGAAAATGTGAGAAGTGCTTCCATCCTTCATGTTTAATTCTAGATGCCACCTTGAAATCGGCCGTGTGCCGACATGTTCCTATGTACGCTTATGAAGAGTCCTGGGAGACAGAGAAGAGTCTCTATTTAATGGTTATTCAAGTTCTGCAGGAAAAAACCGATTGCTAGCAGAAAACAACGATCTTTTGAAGAAAACTCAAGAAAATCTCGAAGAAAAGGTAAACAAAGCTGAATGCGAGGTTAGGAAATTGTCTAAGCCCCCGCCTAATTTGCCATTGTCTGTCACCGCCGTCACCGACAGCCCCAGCCGCCCAAGCCAAACGCGGGGCGACTCTGAGGTTATGGGCAATTCTTCTTTTTCGTCCGCTGCAAGCAAGGCCAAGCCAAGAACACCAATCTGCACCGAAGCAACCTCTCGGTTCTCGGTTAGCAACGAACAAGAACAGATTGTGAATCTAAACTCAGAAAACAAAGGTGATTGTCATCGTGCCAAAAATAAACAAAAACATAATGCGACTAATAATAAGGAAGACCAAGACCAAATCACTTTATCGCAGGTCAACAGGGCCATTGCATCGGCAATTAACAACAAAAGTGAAACATCGACCCTAGAATACACCAACAACTACGTAAACAAAAGTGACGCAGAATGGATTATGGCAAAAACACGCAAAACGAAAAGACATGATAGCTTGAACAAGAACAAACGGCCTACACCAGCTATAGGCATAAACGAAAACAAAACAAATCTTAAAGTAGTGGAGTTTGCTAATAAAAAGCAAGACCCACTATCTTGGATCTTTGTCACCGGGTTTGATCCCAAAACAAAGGAACACGATATATTGGAATTCCTTAAGGACAACAATCTAAATGAGGGCTGTCGTTGTTTCAAAATGATAACAACGAAAGACAATATAAAAACAAATAATGGATAATGGCTTGTGGCCGACAGGTGCACTTATAAACCATTTTCACAATCTACAGCGCCTCACTGTTTCCCAACCCAACCAGAAGTAAACACTAGGCAGCAGTTAGCACTATTTCATTTGAATATCCAGTCAGTTAGAAACAAGATAGATGAACTCGATGCCTTCCTTCATGATAAGACCATCGACATTTTATGTCTGACCGAACACTGGATGTCAACAAGTCAAATTTCGGCCCTCTGCATAAAGGGGTATGTATTGTCTACATCCTATAGCAGATCCAAGGTCCGGGGAGGGGGAGCAGCCATCCTTCTGAATATTAATATGTTGTCTAAAGAAATTTTACAAGTGAAATTCTTGACTATAGTAAATAATATAGAAATCTGTTCTGTCTTTTTGACTGATCTAAATGTTTATGTAATAACTTGTTATAGACCTCCCTCAGGTTGTTTTGATATATTTCTGGAGGTTATAGAAAATGCGATAAACTTGATAGGTTTCAGTAAAAATATTCTATTAGCAGGTGACTTTAATGTACATTTTGGTACCACTTCACGTGAGTGCATTGATCTTTGCTCTCTGCTGGATTTATATGGGTTCACTCAACTCAATTTTGAACCAACTAGGCAGAACAGTTGTTTGGACAATATGTTCGCTAGCTTTGGTGCTGATGGATGCAATTCTGAAGTTATTGAAACGGGACTGTCAGATCACAGAGGACAGTTGGTAAACTTTCCTGTACCTCAAAAATATGCAACGTACACCACTGAGACTGTCATATGTAGACCGATAACCCAGCATGGTAAGATTCTTTTTTACATGTGTGTTGATCAAATTTCTTGGGATTTTGTTGATAGAATGGATCTTTCCGCGAATAAAAAATTTGAATTATTTATTCATCATATTTCTTTGGCATTCGATACTTCATTTCCAGTTAAACAACATCTTAAACGTATGAACCAAAACCACACTACAAATTGGTTTAATGAGGATCTTCGACAGATGCATGACACTTTGCAGTTTTTGAGAGAATTACACACTAATAACACAGGCATTGAACTGACAAATCTTTTCAAGTCACACAGGAAATTCTATAAAAAAGCAATAAAATCGGCCAAAAAAGCTTCTAATGACCGATTAATCCTAAATTCTCCTACAATTGTGGCAAATTATAAATGAAGCGAGGGTGTTCAAAAGAAAAAGGAAACCACTTGTACAATTTCCCCCAACGACTTTAATAACTTTGCAGATATTGCCTTGAACTTACAGAGCCAAGTTAACCAGGCTCTAGCTGACCCCACAGAAAATATTCCTACCTTTTCTCATCGTCCATTCACTTTGGGTCATGTTAGTTTTGTTGAAATTAAGGATGTTATTAATCAACTCAAAAATAAAAAAAGTAAAGATCCCTTAGGACTTTCTGTTGAATTGGTGAAAGGCATCAAAAATCCTATAATCTCTCCTCTCACAAAGCTCATTAACTTCAGTATCAACGAAAACACTTTCCCTGATATTTTGAAACAAGCAGTAGTAATTCCAGTTTTCAAAAAAGGTGACGCCAATGATGTATCAAATTACAGACCTATCTCATTGCTGCCTATTTTTTCAAAAATATTTGAAAAATGCATGTCTTTGAGTATTAGTAAATTTTTGGAATCTAATGAACTTTTTTACAAGCAACAATTTGGCTTCCGAAGGGGACGAAGTACAGCTCTTGGAGTGCTGGATCTGGTATCAGCTAGACACGAGGCCTTTGAGGGGCGAGGGTATCTGGCAGGCAGCTTTTGTGACTTGAGTAAAGCGTTTGATTGTGTGGAGCATGAAATACTTCTGGCTAAGCTTCAGAAATACAACTTTGATCAATCCAGCATCTCCTTAATCAGAAGTTACTTGTCTGGACGACGCCAAGTGGTGCAGGTTGCTGGGGTGAAGTCAGATGAAAGGGATGTACAAATCGGAGTGCCCCAGGGTTCAGTCCTGGGTCCTCTTTTATTTTTATTATATATAAATGATCTTCCACAAATAGATTTAGACGCTCATTACACCCTTTTTGCTGATGACTCCACAATTGCCTGCTATGAAAACGAGCTGGATCAAGCTATGGAGCGCACTCGTGCTGCACTTTCTAGAGCTGAAGGATGGTTTTCCACCAATTGCTTATTTCTCAATGCCTCTAAAGCAGCGTTTTCCTAGCAACGCACATTTTACGCGGCGTAGAACGTAATTCGGTCGGCGTAAAACGCTGAGAACATGTCTAATGAAAATCAAATGGAGGTGTTTTCCTACACCGCGTAAAAACGACTTGCGCTAGCGTAATACGGTCGACGCAACTGAACGACTGCTCGGAGAGCAGTCTATTCAGTTGTACGCTGCGTGTTGGCAAAGAAAATGCTCCTGTTGTATTATATTTACATACCTCAATGTTAGGCCAAGCTTTTCAGGTGGCGAAATAGGATGTCGCACGCGATTACCATGATTCCTTACTTAAATCTTTTCTCACAAGATTGAGGAGAAATGAGATTTGCTGCCTTGTAACTATAAAATATGCTTTTCAAATTTTACTTCGTCGTCGAGATGTTTATGGATAAGTATCTCTAAATGCTCCTTCGCTTCTTCTTTTTTGAAATAATTGACTAGCAGAATTTCTAGTCCTATCATAAATCGTAACTATTATATCAATCTCTTCTTGCAAATTTTCATCTTGTAATAATAGGGCTGTTTCTGCAGAAATAATAAACCAGTCAGAGTGAATTTCATTGGTTGAAACTAGTTTTCTGACTGTTTCTGATTCTTTTCAACCAATGAAATTCACTCTGACTGGTTTGTGATTTCTGCAGAAGCAGACATAATAATAAAGCCTCGAATAAAGCCAAAGCTAATTTCTCTAGTAATTTCTTTATTGATATACTCATCGCGACGATCGGGACGCAACTGACAATCCTAGGAAAACACTTTTACGCAGCGCATTAGCTGTTGCGTTGCGTCGGCCGTATTACGTTCTACGTCGCGTAAGATGTGCGTTGCTAGGAAAACGCTGCTTAAGACCCAAACACTCGTCTTTTCCACCCGTGCACTGCCTAATGTGAATGAAGCTTCCATTGTTAAGTTCTTAGTGTCCATTTGGACCCCGGGCTACGCTGGGACGCCCATACTGATGCCCTGTGCTCTAGACTCGCTTCAAATGTATTTTTGCTGCGTGGTCTAACTGGCTCTGTGTCGCATTCTGTGCTTAAGCAAGGATATTTTTCATTGGTGCATAGCCATATTTCCTATGCTATCATTGCATGGGGTCACAGTGCAGGAGCAACAAGAGTCTTTAGGCTTCAGAGGAAAGCGGTTTGGATATTGGCAGGGTTGTCTTATAAAGAAGATTGTAGGCAGGCCTTTATACATAACAATATTCTAACTGTTCCGTGTCTATTCATATATGAGTGCCTTGTGTACTTGAGTAGTAACCTGGGTAGTTATCGGTCTCATGTTGACATCCATAATTATGACACTCGTAATAGACATTGTTTGGTACTAAATTACCATCGGCTTGATAGGTGCAGGAGTGGTCCCAGCTGTTTTTCAATCCATTTTTTCAACAAGTTACCTGATCCCTTCAAGAGCCTACCAGAGAAACAGTTCGAGCAAAAAATTAAAGGCTTTCTGTGTAGTCAAGGATTTTATAGTTATACAGAGTTTTTAAGTCATGAATTTTAATTTTAATGTGTAATAGGTTTGTTGTAATATGTATAAGTTTTGTCTTTTTTAATGGACTTTTACCTGTAATAATTGTTTTTATTTTATTTTAATTTATATAATTGACTTTTTTGTCTTTATTTTAACTTTGTATTAGTCACTGTAATTTTAGCATTTATCGGTCTGTTTTTCTTTTAAATAATATGTATAGTGCTCAGCATAATTTTTGTAATTTTTATGATAAATGTAAGATTTATTTATATGACTTGTGTAAGGTACAATTGTATTTATAACACCAATAAACTATTTTGATTTTGATTTTTGCAATTGATAATTCTGAGAAAATGTGTGTTTACTATACTAGAAACAAAGGGTAAGTTGGACAATTGGAAAACTTATTTTTTCTTCATGATTTTTCCAATAAAATAATAGAATCAAATCTGAATGATTCGTCAAGTCTATAAGCAGCTCTATTGCAAACACCGGATGACCCTACAATAGGGAATTTTCACATTTCTGAAATTATTTTTTTTACATACTTCTAGTGATCAGTTATCACATCGTTTCTTTTTTTCCATTTTAATTTATACGTTTTAGGAAAAAAAAATTACTGAAATTCAAATCAAAAACTTTGGCGCGAAAACACGAAATCTCAATATGACAGCGCTTGTGACGTTAAGATTTTGTAAACAAGTAAACAACAAATACGCAGCAAATGAACTCCTGTTGACGCAGTGCTATTTTTGTGTTATTCAAGTGTGTTAAAGTTTGCTTTATGTGAAAATTGTCGCAATGGATGAAGAATATTGTAAAGGACTGCTTTTGTAATTTTTTTTTACTTGCAAGTTCCCTATTGACAGGTTTATTTACAGAATCGTGACGTCAAAAAAGGTAGCCATCATGGAAGCATTGTTTTGGCGGAATTTTTTTTATTTCAAAGGATAACGCACACCTAACATGGGATTTTTGGGCTCTATGGATTTTGCCCATTTTTTGATATGTTGTAGAGGATTTAATTCTGAACAACCTTTAAATGGGACGAAATCTTGTAGGTATTACGGTCTTTGAGATATGAGCGTTAAAAGATGAACTTTTTTACAACTTTTTGTGTGGAGAGTATACGAAAAACTGGTGTTTATCAGTCAAAATTTTGACAGGTCGACATATTTCACGTCACTAAAAAATGTCAATATAGGCTAAGGCCAGGACCGCACTGGCGCCAATATTAATCCCAGTGCGGTCCCGGCCTTAACCTAAGTTGCCATTAATTTTTAAGTGATGTAAAATATGTGAACCTGTCAATATTTTGACTGATAAACACCAGT